AGCCTACAGGGCATACTGCCACATTAGCATTATTAATATCACAAAACTATAAAATTAACTTAAAGGTAACATTTGAAGAACTAATTGACCCGCTGTAGGTTCATGTTTATTTCGCATTTTTTATGACAAAACTAATATTTAAAAACATGTCCATACAAATGATAAAAGTATTAGAATTACAACCGCTAAAAAAATTTAATTTTTATATCGCCATATTTTTATTTAAAACGTATTCTTTTCTGTCGCTTCGTCCGCCATTACTAGCTTTAAAAAATCTCCTATCGGGCCGCAATGCATTATGGGATATGCTGGGCCGGGAAGGATCCATCAGACCTGTCCTTCAAATCGGGGAAAAGGAAGGACGTATTTGTCGGCCGCATCAGAGGAGTCTTCGGTTTTGGACGTCCTTCCTCACGGCGCTGTGACGTATGCAGCCGACGAATTCGGCCTTTGGAGGACCCGTCCTGCCGTTTTGGACACAGCCCATTGCAGTTTTGCAAAAAACACCAATTTCTATACGGCCGAAAAACCACCTCATCCTAGCGCAAAAATATTTTGTCGAAAAACATGATTTTTTTCGAAATTGACGTGTTTCCATTGAGCAAATTTATTTTCGAAATTCTAATTTGCACATTTTCAAGGTCAGTGGAAACACAGCTACTGAGAAAGTTCAGTGCAGAGCTCTGCGTTATTTCTAAGGTGTGCTTAGAAATACCCCTAAACTGGCCCTACGTATATGGAGATAATTAAACTGTTTTATTTTGAAGTTTATAAGTGGGCAGATGATAATTTATGTGAACCAAAATTACGACCTTATGTTTTTAATAAAGCACACTGATGGTCCTGAGCCACATCAAAGACCAGTTTGTGCAGTTTAGATCTTTACCTCTGGAAACTGGACCTTTTCCTTCAGTTCCAGAGGACCGACCATGTTCTTTATGTGATTTGGGTGAAATTGAGAATTAAATGCACTTTTTGTTTTATTGTTCTTTGTGTATGATTTTGAGAAATGAATTGTTTCGTAAAGTTATTGACATTTATTCAGATTTTTTAAATTTATTTGATGGAGATCAAATCCAGTATTTAATACAGTTTTTAGTATTTAGCACATTTTTTATTAAAAGCCTGGCACCTCAGGAAGAGAGGACACATTTTGTTTAAAGAACGTTTACGTCGGTCTGCCTGTGTGAATTTGTTTTGTTGTGTCTTGTGAGCCTGTGTGGGCTGAACACCTGTGCTGCATSACACAAAGAAAAGAAAATTACTTCAGTGAAAAAAAAAATCAACCTGTTAAACTCAAAGCTCTTACTTTACAAGTTTTTAAAAATAAATTATTTAAAGAAGACATCTTTTCAGCTTGTTGTTTACAGAGAGAAGTTGTAAGTTGTCATTTGTGTGTTATTTTTGTTTTAATATTAAGAATGTACTTGTTTAGTTTGTTTACAGAGACGAGTTTTGTAATGTGTGCTGTTTTGTTTTAATATTAAGAATGCACTCTTTTAATTTGTCATTTACAAGCTGAAATTTTAGGTTGTCAGTTGTGCGTTATTTTTGTTTGTATTTGCAGAGGAGTGCAATTTTTCAAGCTGAAAAGTTATTTTAAGTTATACATTAATAATAAAAGTAAGTGTACTTTGAATTCAACTTGTGTTAGTTCATTATCTATTTTGAACTTGTGGAATGCACATTTTCTCTTTGTTTTCT